TAAGTATCCATGCATGTTGCACATGCTTAATAATGACATAGCCTTCTGAAATACATTGAGGCCAAAAAGAAGACCATACTTGTTAATCAAATACTTCTTTATTATTGGGAATTTTAACCCTGCAATAAAAACTAGCCAAGGAGCTGATTAATATAGACGAGATAGTAATTAATTAACCTCATTTGTGCCTCCATCTCTTGCCTTTTTCTCCTCCCCACAACTTGAGCTCTCACCCTTTCCATGCTTGTGCTGCAAAAACAGCCAGGTTTCAATCTCAAGCACGTACTACACAAGCAAAGAAAAAACCAGATGAAAACAGATAGATACAGCATATACATAACATTTGTGGGATATCATTACTGATTTTTAAAATACATAACATTTGTGGGAGAAGCTTAAAACCTCCAACTATTAATTCCTAGAGCTTGGATATGTCATGTGCCTCACCAAAAGATTTACATTGAAAATCCAAATGAAAAACTGTATATTGGCAAAGTTATGATTTAAAGAATTGAACCCTGAAAAGTATCAAAATCCAAGGGTGCAGTGTATTCAGCATGTCATTTTGGAAAAAATTGTAATCTTCATCTAGAGAATGCATCATAATAACCCATTAAAGTTATGATTTTAACAGATTTAACTACCATGAAGAGTATCCAAATCCAATAGTTCAGTGTATTTACCAAGGCGTTTCGGAAAATTTTGTAATATTATTGAGAGAATTCATCATAACAACCAATTAAACTTATGACCTTAAGACCTCTTCATAGTTCAAACATTACTTTAAGGCTGAATATTTTACATTTTTTTTGTAACCTAAAATAAATTGCTTTGCTTTGCATAGAAATAATTTTTTTTGTAACCTAAAATTCTCATATTTGGATTTTGACAAGGGTTTTCTTCTCTTTGAAGTGTGCAACCTCTCCATAATTCAAACATTACTTTATGGCTGAATATTTTATATTTTTTAACCTAAAATAAATATTTTACATTTTTTATAACCTAAAATAAATTGTTTCAAACATTACTTTATGGCTGATGAATGTTGTTCGACCTTACATTTATATCTTTTTTCACTTTCAGGTCAATGGGAATGCTCCTAGGGAAGATGTTTTTGCTGAAATAGACAGTGCACTCTCCTCAGTTCTTGAGAAGAAGGCGAAGCTGGATTCATCATCAATGGCTGCTGGTATGGCTGGTTAGAGCTTTAGAGAGTGCATATTGTGTTGATAGTTATCATATTTAGGGCTTGCCAGTATAATGATGACATGTTTATTTACCGATAACTAAGCCTTTCCATCCTTGTTTAACTTTGAAGAAGCTACCTAGCCCCATATTAGTTTAAAGTTATTTCCTGGTTACAAAATTTTTTGTTGGTTACAAAATTTTTTGTTGGTTGTAAGTAACTTATGATTTTTCACAGAAACTTGATAATAGGATGTATATTCAACTGTTTTACAATGTTTACAAAGTTTGAAAAAAACAATCTTTTTAATTTAGCGATTCAATCTTTTTTCGATCTTTCTATAACTCTCTGTTCTTTGTGTGTATGTGAGAGAGTGTGTATAAGAAATTCTAAAATATTTACCATCATGGAAATTTTGTAATGCAGTCTTTTTTCCATCTTATCACAATTATTGTGATCTTTGTGTGTATAAGAGAGAAAAGAGAAAGTGGATCTATTATTATTATAGCTCTAACTTCAAAGTCCTAGAATTTACCATCATGTGAATTTACCTCTGCAATATTAATCTCATTTTTCGATAATGGTTTGATCTGAGTGTGTGTTTGAATGAGAGGGAGGGACGGTGTAATTTCAGATTTTCCTCTAATACTAAATATTATTTTGCAATCTTTTTATCATCTTCTTGTACATCTTTTGATCTTTGGTTGGTTTGTGTGAAAGAAGAAGGGGGTGGGGGTGGGGTAGTCTTCTTCGATGAACTTTTCTTTTCTTCTCGATGCTATTCCTTTTCACAGGTTTCTCTTTAAGAATTCACTTTGCTATTTTTTTGAGTGAGTGGTAACCCTAGTGAATGGTAATCTTAGATGGGGAGTTTTCTAGGAAAGAGATGGAAGGGAACCTTAATCTGCTCCCCTCTTTTTGTAAACATGTGACACAAACTGGTGATACAGACGATGCGGTGAACAATGGTTCAAAAGTGCGTTGAGCAAATCACTACAGAGAATGTAGTGAACAATTGTCCAATGTCCAGAGAGCCTCTGTCTAATCGTTAGACTTTTAAGATAGATGAAAAGAATATAAACCATGTGAGGAAGGAGAAAAGATGCCAAACGTGATGCGAAACAATGTGATGCAGGTACAAAGATCATCGACAACAATGTTTCGCCAAATTAGCGATCGATCCAGGCAGGAAACTCAAGAATAAAGTGTAGCTCTCGATAGCTTTTAAGCAAAAGTTACGATTGTACTAAGTTCAGACCTTTGAAAATTATTCAGATAAAGAATGTAATGATTCGTTCTTTTAATACAGTTCAATTTGTAATATTTAGATCAGCAGAAATACTTAGCAACATAATCACTCGCTCACTGATCAAACTGAATACAACACAATCAATTGATATTAAAATTGAGGATAACACGCACGCAATAGTGACTCTGAAAATATTTGGTCGAAAGAAAACAAAACCTGCGTTGGTCTGAACTGGCTTTGAATCAAGTATGAGGCACTAACGGGTCCATTGTTACTGTGGGTTGGACCTGAGCTGAAATTCAAATCCAACTGAACCAGGTTGGGTCTGACCAAAACAAATCAGATCCGAGTTAAACCCGGTTTGAGTCTGCACAAAAAACAGATCATACCTGATCACTTTGTCTGCTCTATTTCGATCTGAGGAAGAGAGGGTGAAGCGACTGGGGCACGGTGGCGTTCCGATCGGTCGGCGATGACTGACTTGGCGATGGGATGAAAGCAGGTGGCGGTGGATGTAGACGGTGACAGGATGAGGCGATGACTTTCGGTGTGAATGAGGCGGCGGTGGAGTTGCTCGAATACGTGGCTGAACATTTTGACGGGGCTGTCGGCGGCGGCGGCG